ATTGGGAGGAACACAGTTGAACAGAATGACTAATTAAGAGACAATGAGGACAGGAACAGGAACGACCAAATAAGGGCACATGAGGGAGAAACTGGGTCACGGGGAGCAAAACACAGACAGTCCAATCCTGATATTTCACCCCCCTCCCGGAAGGTGGGGGCCGGCAGACAGAGTCCAGGGAGGATCAGACGGAGGAAGAAGCCAGGGAGATGACAGGAGGGACTTAGAGCATGTCGCGCCAGGTGGGACCCTGGCCACAGTCATGAAACCAACCCACGGTGGAGCCGACAGAGGGAGTAGCCATGGAGGAGGAATGGCTGACGATTCCAGGGGGCCAACCGACTGCGGCGGAGCAGGTGGCTGAGGACCCCCGAGGCAGAGAGCTGATGATCCAGGGCAACGGGGAGGATCCGGAGGGCCAAGGCAGAGCAGATGGTGCCGGCGACCGAGGATGAGGCGGGGATACAGAAGGCCGCTGTGGAGCCGGAGCGACAGAGGACTGAGGAGGAGCCTGACAGAGCCGGAGGGACGAGGCACAGCCAGCGGAGTGGAGTCCTGAGGCAATGGATGGTCAACGACAGACCAAGGCGGAGCCGGAGGGAAGAGGGAGCCTGGTAGAGCCAGTGGACTGATGGGCCATGGCGGAGAGGAGGGAGCTAGGAGCCATGGTGAAGCCGCTGGGTTGAGGCAGAGTCTGGGACTCAGAGGCAAAGGATTCTCCAGCTATGGTGACGATGGGGGAGGAGGCAGGAGCGGGCGGGTGGGCGAGCATTTGTGAGCCTCCAGGCTTAACTTGGGAACAGGAGCCCTCTCTGGGCTGGACGTGGAAACAGGAATGGGAGGGATGAAAGGGGGCAGGTCGGAATACAAATCAATTAAGTCTCTTTCCACTTTTCCTTTACCCAGATCCTTAGACAGCTCACCCTCAGCCACAGTGCAGGGGGCGGAGCTCCTCTCCACTCTCTCACTGTCCATGACGCTCTTCCCCGTGGCGAGCCATGTAGCCGGCTCTCGCACCTGGTCTGACGTCACAGGCACGGGCTCCGGGGCGATCCTCAGCACTGTCGCTCTCTCTGGCGATGGCTCGTCGGTCATGGCGGGCTCTGGCTCTCCGTCAGAGGTGGACTTGGGCTTAATTTGTATGAAACCTGAATATTCCATAAGTTTACTTAGTCAGTTCACCGATGAAACCTTTTGGTTGCTAACCAAGAACTACTAGGCTACACCACAGTCCGTAATAGACCTATAATTTGAATCAGATGATGCAGTTCACAATTAATTTGTATCCTAGTGCCCCTCAATCTGTGAGCACTAGGATACAAATTTAAGATCCTAATGATGAGACACAGCATATTAAACTACTGCACCAACTTGATGCTTTATTAATAAGCTTCATTGGAGTAAATGCTCTAAGCGTACGGAGGCAGAGACAAGTGTCTGACACCTATGAACAGCAGTGGATTGTGGCTGTATGTGAATGTGTGTGAACAGTGGTGAGTTGTGGGTGGAGCTGCATGAGGTGAGGCCCTTGGCTGCTGTCACAGAAACATCAGAGCACAACATCAATCAAGCCCTTTCATTAGAGGCTGTCTAGGTCTCAGCGCCTCCATCAGCAGAGGAGTCCTCCATTATTGATCAAACCAAATACATCCAACAGCCCTGCTACCACTATTTCTCCCAGATTGGAAGTTTACAGCCGGTTACAGAGGAACAAGAGGGTTTCTTCCTCAAAGATGCAGAACTGACTTGTGTGATATACCTAGTATACTAATAAACTCAAATAGAAAAAAATATATATATAGGATTAAAATACCTTTGAATTTACTGTTGAAACAAGTGTCTTGTCCAATAGACTTATTGTAAAAGTAAGTTCTCAAACTGAAGGACAAGTCAGAATTAGTAAACTGATAGAATGTCAGAGACTCAAGGTCTTAAATAGTTCGCAAAACATATTTTACTTCTGTAATTTAAGGTTTATTTTAAGGTGTCCTTGTTACACGTTACATATACTTACTAGTATAATAACAAATTAATTATGCATAATTACATGCAAGTAACCCTAAGCCAAACCATATAGTAAGTACATGTAGTTAATTAATATTACTCCGTACTTATGTTTAATTACACTGTAACAGGGACACCTTAAAATAAAGTGTAACATTTGAGTAAAACTGAATATTCAAAAAAAAAAAAAAAAGACCAGAACTGATTGGTAATTATGAAGGAAATAAAGTCACACACTGTGACATTTGTCAATGTAAAAATCACATGAAATATAAAGTCAGAAATATGAAAAATAAAATCATATTGAGAGATAAAAAGTCATATTGTTAGATATCAAGTTGAAATACAAGAAATAGTCACATTGTGAGATATACAGTAGTCACATTGTGAGATGTAAAATCACAAATATGAGAAAGAAGTCATGAGTCATAATTTGAGATAGTCGCAAATGCGTTAAGTAATGTCACGTGATATAAAGTCACATTGTACAATGTAAAATGGCAAATGGAATAAAGTCACATTGCAAGATATTAAAGGGGTCATATGCAATTTAAAATTTTCCTTTCTCTTTGGAGTGTTACAAGCTGTTTGTGCAGAGATAAGATCCCTAAAATTGCAAAGACTAAAGTCTCAAACCCGTGGAGATGCTGTGTTTCGTTGTGAAAGCGAAACTTTGTTTGGCCTTCCAAAAGAGGATGAGATCCACTTCGTCATGCCTAGACCTGATCCGTGTGTCAGGAAATATACAAACTCTGGACAGGGAGGCTAGGTAAATCAAGCCATTTATTAATTGTAAAGCAACATAAACAGGTATAGGGAGCGATGGAAGGGAGAACTCCGAGTGCGGGTGGATGATTTAATAGGAATAGTCTTACTGATGAAGGTGAATGAGGATCGGAAAGCACACACCTCAGCGTCAGAGAGGTAAGTCGTTTTCAGTAGCAACTTCAAGGAGATAATCTTCGTTCAACAGAGATCGTTCGCAAGAGAACTGGAGAGAGTCCGCTGGAATACTGGCGATCGCAGGATAGAGAGTCTGTAGCCTAATCGAGGACAGACAAAGTCTGAACTGAGGAGTGTGCTTATATGCTGGGGCTGATTGAGTGCAGGTGTTCAGAATTCAGGTGATTGGGATCGTTGCGTGGTGGTGAGAGAGCCTGGTGACTCCGTGACACCGTGCTGGTCACTGAGCATATGATGTGCAATTATGACAAATAAAGTCAAATTGCAAAATATAAAGTCACAAATACAACAAATAAAATCTTACTGTGAGACATAAAGTGACTAATTAGCAGATATTCTTTATATTTTATTATTTATGTATTTATTTATTGGGTGGAAACAGGCTTCAATAAATACCAATTTAGAGCCATGTGTCAAATGATGACAAGGGTTAAAAATGTAAATTGTTAGAAATGGAGTGTAGTAATTTAATTGTATTGGTTTCTACAAAGACAAACTTTATTCATTCATTCTTTTTTTTTGGCATACCATTAATTGTGCTCAAAAGAAAGAAAAATCAGGAAATTACATTCATAATGAAAATGTCAATTTTGAATTAATTTGTTGGCTGTAAGTTATATTGAACCTGTTCATGGTTGGGCGAATTAATCTTGTCTTTGTCACTGCTGAACAGTTCTTGTCTTCAGGTTTAAGTGCTATGCACACATCTTGACTTTCCATTGCTATTCAGATATTCAGAACAGAATAATAGCTTACTGCATTCTGCACACTATGCACTGCAAATGCTGGTATTTTTTTAATAGTGTGGAGTGGACAGTTTAGGATGACATGCTTCGGTCTTCAAAAGGGTTCGAGTAATGCAGGCAGACAGGAATAATGCATTTAACTGACTTTACTGTCAGTGAACTTCAGCTCTCTCAGTGTGTCTGCCTTTGATCGTATAATAGTATGTGATACAGCACACATTATGCAATGGCATACATTTCATCCAGCAGTATGCTATGCTGTTTTCACAGCTTCAGTGGCGTCCAGTTATCATCTAAGAAATAAATATTATGGTTGATATTTTTTCAGATTCATTTGTTACACTTGAAATGAAAAGTCGAAATGTTGTCCCACAAAGTGTGCTTTAGTTGTATACTTGACATTTTGGCACATGTTGGGTATTCTACACTATCAGAAAAAGGTACAAAAGCAGTCACAGGGACGGTACCTTTTCAAAGATACACTTTTGTACCATTTTTACCCCTAGAGACTCTATTAGTACTTTAAAGGTACATATTACTGATGTATATTAGTACCTAAATGGTGCATATTTATATCTTTTGAAAGGGCACTGTCACGATGATAACGTTTATACCTTTTTTTTTTCTGACAGGGTACGCATGCAGAAAATGTGCATATACTGCACAAATAGCAGAATAAAAATGTTGTGTGCTATTATGACCATAGTACAGCATTCTAGAAGTGAAAGGGGAATTTTGTGGGGTCCTTCTTATTTTTTCTTTCTAACCCCAGTTGTCATTTATTGCAAAAATATTAATTTTAGTAAAACGTCTACAGATAAGCATCTATTTCTTTCCTTGAAATGACAAGGGATAAGACTAAGGACTTCTTTCAAGCATCATTTCGAATGTTTCCTTCTGAGGTAAAGCAAACAGCTTTTTATTGGCTGTAAATGAGGCCTTGTTGCTGAGCAACGTGAACATTTGAATAACAAGAAAGCAAATGTAAAAAAAGTGAAATTGTTATTCATTATCTAATTCCAAGATGGCATAATGAGGAGTTGAAGAGCACTTTGGGAATAAGACATGGGTGCAAAACGAAACTTTGAAAGTTATTAAGAATAATCAGAATAATTGCACTGTTTTATTTATTATCTAATTAATTATTATTAATATAATATGCTTTACCCCTATACCTGTAAGCAATGGTCATTTTATAACACATTTGTAAGAATGACAAATGCAAACATTGGAAGCAGATGTTGATCTATAACACTTTATTCAAATAAAAACAAATATGGAGCAAAATTAAGCAATCAACATTTTGCTTGTTACAAGTTTGTTTAGACTGTGTATAAAAAAGTCTCTTTAATAGTTTGTAGTTAATTTTTTGCCAATACATTTAGAGCAGGTACTTTGTTGATACGGAAAGCATCTCAGTATTATTGTAAAGGGAACTGCTGTCACCTAGTGGTGGCTCATGAGCAGTAGTGAATGAATATACTCTGTAATTTAATGTACATAGTAATATATGTAATATAATTTTTAGCTGAGTGATCCACATTTGAATCCATGGTTAACATATTCAGAGTAAGGAGTTCAAAATTCAACCTGAAATACTAATTGAAAGACAATAATTAAAAATATGCATTCACAAATCATGTTGTTGTCATTTTAAAATATCCCTATGCAATATCAATGTACTTACATGACATCCAGAAAATACATTTATTTACTGTGTTCAAAGAACATGAAGTCCTACAAAAGAAGAAGAATATCAGATTATTCACTATGCTGAAACACGCAGAGCTTATAGAGCAACATTAGAAAAATATAAACTGGTCTAACCAGAACTATGTTGATGCATATCAATGCCTTATTTTTGCTTACTATGAGAAAACAGGCTCCAAAAAGAGCAGCTTTGATCTTCACGTCCAGATCCATAGGAAAGGAGATTCCAAAATTGTCTGCATCGGTGAAAGCTTCTCTCACCAGACCTGTCCATTGTTTAGAGATTCTGCCCACCTTTGTTGTTTCATCCATGGACAAAACCTGTTTAGACACAAAAAAGAACTATTTATGATCATGAAAAATGTTTTGTTGTATGTATTATGGAAGGATCACATGGTTTTATGACCAAGATCAAAAACCAAATCAAACTGTTATCAATCTTCCCGTCTTGTATGCTTCATACATCAAAGTTCACATCAGCGCAACATCTGCATGAACAGAACGGCCCCACGATCTTCAGAACTGCTTCTTTCTTCTCATTCTGTACGGTATACTTAGGAAGGAAAGGATGCCAGTTCTGGATCACATATCCAATCGGGTTCCCCGGTGGAGACTGGATTTCAAGCTAAGAGGGCGACAGTAAAGACACATAAACAGTGATTTGAATTTAGGCATAATTATTCTTGAAATATAGTAGATCTGTATAATTATTCACAACTTAAAGGTTGCATTTAAGCTGTTAATTCAATCACAAGCATGACCCATGATGGTGGCTTAGCTGAGTACCCATCATGCAACACATCATTCGTTACAGTACATTGGTGAAGATGATTTGAAAGCATGACATGCAGAGGCTGGATGTTTATTCAGCAATGGTCTACAATATTAACAGGGTCAAAGACATCTAAAATTGTCCACGAGTGCCCAAAAAGTGTATGTTGAATTATGAATTATTATTATTAATAACATCACAAACTCAAGGTATTACCTCAACCTCAGCTACCTTGCATTTTCATTAAAATTTCCTGATATTTTAAAAGATTTATTGACCTTGACACGCAGTCATTAAAATCTACAGAGGTCCTCACTATGGTATTATTTCCTATTTTACTGTATGTTTGTATGTATGTATGTATTAATTTTCCTGCATGTTAGTGGCACTTTAATTAGTTAGACAATGTATACAATATTATTAAGCAGTGAAGCCATTTTTTGAAGCCATTTCAAACTTTTAATGAGGCTTTCTTTATGCACGCCAAAAAGTAATTCATTTTAATTTTAAGCAATTGAAAACATCCTCATCATAGAAGATGTGTACTCAAGTCAATGTACACTCCTGTTCAAAAGTCTGGGTTTTGTTTTAATACATTAATAATTTAAAGAGTTGAATTCAAATTTAAGATGCATTAGGAGAATTTCTTCAAAAACGTATAATTTTTTTTTAATCTTACCAAACCCAAACTTTTGTACAGTAGTGTACGCATGGATTGTAAAAGGATTTTATCCAAAGCACCTTTTTTTTTCTACACAAACAGCACGATAATGATAGTCCATGAATCTACAATCTACATGAATCTAGTTTGAAACTACAATCTTTCAAGTTTTTATCTTTAACAATGAAGCCTGAGATTCAAGTCAAAGGCTTTGAAACCTGAATAAAAGTCAGAGTTACAACACAGAATGTGGCTTCATGAACCAAAATACGTATTACCTCTTGCAGGCAACAGGGACAACAGCAGCTTCCGCACTTCAAAGGACGAGTGAGTGTCATCACTTCCTGCCCTATGTTATCCTGAACATGGATGACGAATGAGCGCAGTGGTCCGCAGAACTGTCTATTACAGCAGTCGTTTTCCTCAGCCACAAAGAACACCTGTTGCCCCACACTGTTCTTCACCATGTACTTATTATTGGTCTCCCAGCCCAATATAACTGTGATACGGCATTTTCATTAAAATTTCCTGATATTTTAAAAGATTTATTGACCTTGACACGCAGTCATTAAAATCTACAGAGGTCCTCACTATGGTATTATTTCCTATTTTACTGTATGTTTGTATGTATGTATGTATGTATTAATTTTCCTGCATGTTAGTGGCACTTTAATTAGTTAGACAATGTATGCAATATTATTAAGCAGTGAAGCCATTTTTTGAAGCCATTTCAAACTTTTAATGAGGCTTTCTTTATGCACGCCAAAAAGTAATTCATTTTAATTTTAAGCAATTGAAAACATCCTCATCATAGAAGATGTGTACTCAAGTCAATGTACACTCCTGTTCAAAAGTCTGGGTTTTGTTTTAATACATTAATAATTTAAAGAGTTGAATTCAAATTTAAGATGCATTAGGAGAATTTCTTCAAAAACGTATAATTTTTTTTTAATCTTACCAAACCCAAACTTTTGTACAGTAGTGTACGCATGGATTGTAAAAGGATTTTATCCAAAGCACCTTTTTTTTTCTACACAAACAGCACGATAATGATAGTCCATGAATCTACAATCTACATGAATCTAGTTTGAAACTACAATCTTTCAAGTTTTTATCTTTAACAATGAAGCCTGAGATTCAAGTCAAAGGCTTTGAAACCTGAATAAAAGTCAGAGTTACAACACAGAATGTGGCTTCATGAACCAAAATACGTATTACCTCTTGCAGGCAACAGGGACAACAGCAGCTTCCGCACTTCAAAGGACGAGTGAGTGTCATCACTTCCTGCCCTATGTTATCCTGAACATGGATGACGAATGAGCGCAGTGGTCCGCAGAACTGTCTATTACAGCAGTCGTTTTCCTCAGCCACAAAGAACACCTGTTGCCCCACACTGTTCTTCACCATGTACTTATTATTGGTCTCCCAGCCCAATATAACTGTGATACGACAAAATAAAAATATAAAAGTAAGATGCATGCTGGATTTTGTCAAGTTTTGTGCACTGCATTAACTGACCCATCGGTAAGCCCTGCCTTGGTTACAACCCAATCCTGCCTTGCAACTGTCTGGCAACTATTGCCATCTGCAATATTATCAGACAAGCCCTTGCTGTTTTCTAACTCCATGGAATTGTGTTTTACATTACAGATTACAGAATTTACACAAAAACAAGGTCAAATATTGTGGCTGAGGCGCTTATAATAGTGACAAAAAGTATCCAGAGGAGAATACACACAGTATTTTCAACCTATAAATAAAAATTGTATTAACCCTCTGGTGCCGTTTTGTCATTTTTGACCAAAATATTGTATGTTTTGGTTTTTTTTAGAACTTATTACTTCATCTGAGTTGTACGAACTTGATAAAGGTTTTTGCACTTGCTATGAAAATCATGGACATGACTCAAAAAGGTTAAATGATCCAGAAAAAAAATAGTCACACTTTTACTCGAGCGGAGATATAAGCAGCAGTGGATCTGTGGAGTGAAGAAAGACTTCGGTTTTGCTGGGATGAATTCTTCCTGCTGCTTTCCCAGACTTATGCTATTATATTGTGTTGTTTTGAGTAAGTGTGCTCAAGGCTTTATAGTGAAGTGTTTCTTAGTAGAAAGAGAAATTAATCTGTGTAATCTTTTCGTGTTTTCGTTTGTATTGTGTTTCTGATGGATACATTTGGTATCTTTACTTCCTTTTCTTTTGTTTGGGGAATGTAGGGGGAGGGTGCCGTTTTAGTTTGAACACCTTTTTCTCCTTTTTAAGGTTAGTTAAGGAGGGAGGGAAGTCTTCTTTTTAGCAGCATCATATGACCCCTTTAGGTTTTGTCCTGGCCACGTCATAGACATTTGATTAACTCGAGCTTAACGTGATAAAAAAGTCGTGATTATATATCGGTTATGTCGAATGACTTGTCTGGCTTTTAAACGGAAGTGTCTCCATGGTTATAGAGAGTTATTTATATATATGTGGAAATTGTCAACATTTAGACAGATGTTCTGCGTTTTTCTTTCAGGTGGTAGGCTATTTAAAACTTCTGCTTCTGCTTTTTCAGAAACCTTATTATTCGACGTTTCACTTCCTTAAAGGGGCCGTATGACGTTGCTAAAAATAACATTTTGTTGTGTATTTGGTGTATAACGCAATGTGTTTATGCGGTTTAAGGTTCAAAAAACACATTATTTTCCACGTAGGCCTACATTATCGTTTCTCCTCTATGCCCTGATTTTTACAAAGCTCATCTGTCTGAAAAGCCAGGTGTGCTCTGATTGGCCAGCTATCCAGTGCATTGTGATTGGCTGAATACCTCAAGCGTGTGACGGAAATGTTATGCCCCTTAACACACTGTGATGCCGTGTCCCGGCGCGATGAGACAACACCAATAAAACCCATTACAAATGAGGCATTTGTTGCATCCAGTGGGGACATATTACTGATTATAACGACTTATACTGTCTTTTTATGCATTGTTTTGCATTGCGTATCGCGCTGCGTAAATATAAAATCATGTCTGCATTTGTGATCGGAGAAACGACAAACAACAAGCTGTTGTACTCTACACTGCTCAAAATTCGCGTTTGAATCGTCAGTGGCAAATTCTTTAAATATGAAAGTGTACTTACAGTCTGTGAGTCAGAACAGCCGGCATTGTAGTCTACTCTCCCAGGATCAGGAAACAGTCCTCCATAAAATGTGCTGCACACATCTGAATATTTGGGTTGAACTTTTCTCAAACAGTGTTGTAAATACAACTTAACCACTGATTTCTAGTTGTGTCCTCGTTTGGAAGGCCAAACAAAGTAGTTTTGCTTTTACAACGAAAAACACAGCGTCACACACAGCGGGCTTGAGTGAGCGGTGGCCGGCGGATTCGACAAAGACAACAATACTAAGCAAGAATAAAAGTTACGCCTTCTTTCTTTGCGTGAACATTCGGGTGGTGTTATGCAAATCTTCCCACACAGTGATGTAGACGTGGGGGCGTGTTTAAACGAGGCGTTTTAGGAGGGCGTGGACAAGTCTTAACTTTTATAAAGAATATCTCTTTGTGTTTGAGACTTTAGTCTTTGCAACTCTAGGGATCTTATCTATTCACGAACAGCTTGTAACACTCCAAAGAGAAAGGAAACTTTGAAATTGCATCTTATGACCCCTTTAAGAAAAAAAAAGCTTTTTCATGTTTAGAAATTAGATGAGACCTGACTTGATCTGACAACACAATCCACCCATAATTAACAGGAAACAACTTATTAAAACAACACACAGTGGAATGCAAAGCTGAGGCAACGTTTTATACAATAAAAAGGCAGAACTGAATGGCTTTTTGCTATAAATGTAAGTATTTCCATGTATTTACATAAACCTCTTTTTTTTAAGTTTTACTCATTAACACATATTTATTTCTAACAGTTATCACACACACACAAAATCAAGATATTCATAAAAAACTAAATAAAATAAAAAACTTTAGTGGTTTACCAGAGTCAAATGAAGTGGAGAACAGCAGTAGGCTACTTCCTCACATAAAGAACGACTGCGCAGTCTGGATCTGGATCTCTTTACAACTGGTACAACAAGAGTTTTATTACAAGTTTTACTCATTAACACATATTTATTTCTAACAGTTATCACACACACACAAAATCAAGATATTCATAAAAAACTAAATAAAATAAAAAACTTTAGTGGTTTACCAGAGTCAAATGAAGTGGAGAACAGCAGTAGGCTACTTCCTCACATAAAGAACGACTGTGCAGTCTGGATCTGGATCTCTTTACAACTGGTACAACAAGAGTTTTATTACCAGAAACCTTTTTTTTGTTTTTGAGAAACAGCCAGAAACACAGTAGTGCAAAACACAAAGTTGAAGTTATTCATTAATGACAAACATGTTGCTTTATGACAAAAAAAAAAGCCATAAATGCATCAAATTACATCCACAGAAATACAATAATAAACACAAACTTGCAATGTAACATCATAAATACTTTTGCACTCGAATCCAGTTTGTAGTACAAACACAGATCAGCACTTTCTCACAATTTCACATGTAGTATTTTTTGTGATACTTCTCTTGCAAAGCTAACTTGTGCCCTTGTATGTCCAAGAGGGCCAGGAGTCGGGTAGAAGCATGTGTGACTTAAAATAGCATACTGATAAAGTCAGACCTTCAGAAATGCACAGGATACACAATGACCATGACGTTATGAACTAGACTTGTAAATCTAAAAAGCAGGATGGCACAGTTGAAGTATCTAAATAAAAATGTATCTTACATTATTTAAATGTGCCATCCTGCTTTATAGATTCATGGTCATTGCATATCCTTAAATCAACATTTTATGGATTAGTTAAACATTGACATGTTTTAGAGGGCTGACATGTTATATTTACTGCAGAATGATGGTGACACACCTTTCTTTATTTGACTAAATAAAGGTGGAGTGACAAGAAGAAAAATGTCTGAAAAGGATCTAAAAGTTCGTACTTCTGTTATAACCAGGCCCGGTACTAGGCTCGCTGGACTGGGGGGGCAATCAGAAATTGTGTTAAAATATTAAAATCCTGGCAGGGACATTTCCCGTATGAACGGTGCATATGGCCAACCTAGCAGCGAGTGTTATCACTATGTCAGAGACATGCTAGCTTTCCCAAGGCAGACGAACTTAGAGTGGTTACAATCATCCGGGTTTAAATCACGCTCAGATTGATTTGATTTTGACTCAATATTTACACTGAAGCTCGCAGGCGGCTATGGTAAGGGGCGTGACATTTCCCGACCAGGCGCCAAGTGGAGCCAATCACAGCACACACTGGCCCAGCTAACCAATCACAGCACACACTAATATAACTGCTTTTATTTTCACATCCAAATCCATTGGAATTTGCCAAAGTTATTAAACGCTTCTGCCTTAAATCCTGTCCACTGTTTACTAATTCGACCAATCACTGATGACTCATCCAGTGACATCACCTGACATCACATAAGCATGCGACTGT